ACTAAAAATATATAGAAAAAAATTAGCCGGGCATGGTGGCGCATGCCTGTAGTCCCAGCTACTCGGGGAGGCTGAAGCAGGAGGATTACTTAAGCTCAGGAGTTTGAGGTTGCTGTGAGCTAGGCTGATGCCACGGCACTCTAGCCCAGGCAACAGAGCTAGACTCTGTCTAAAAAAAAAAAGAAAAGAAAAGAAAAAGAAAATTTATTCTCAGCCCAAAGATAGCAGTTGTTTTGTACTGTTCCTCTGTGTTTTCATTGGTCAGAGTCAGGTAATAGTGAAGCATGTTTCCTAGAAATAGAGTGCATTTTAAAATAAAACATCTCAACCTATCAGATAATATTTAAATTAGGATTCTTCTAATAGTATACAAGCAAATATACTGTGTAACAGATTAACATTTTTATGAGACCTAATGTTACTTTTAATTTCTTGTTTAGTAAATTGATTTGATAATAAATTGAGATGTAATTCACTTTAGCAAACTTACTATTATACAAAATATAACTTAGGTGATTTGTTATGAGTTCATAAAATAATTTTTAAATTTCTGAAAAGGATTGACAAGATTATATCAACATTTTTTTTTTAATTACAAAAGTAGTATCACTTACTGAAAATGTCAAACAACTCAGAAGTGTATAAAGGTAAAATTAGTCTTTCTCTTCCTCTTTTCTACCTTCCATTTCCTGGAGTAATATTTTGGTAATATGTAAACATATATATACATATACCACACTTGGTTTGGGTTTATTTCCTTTAATGGAACATACATGTTCTACAAGCTTTTTTTTTCTTGCAACAGCCTGTGATGGGCACCTTTCAATGTAGGAACATACAGAGTTCATATGTGCATATATGAGCTTTATCGCACATATAGTTAAATAAGAATTTCTTAAATCAATTCCTTTAACCAATTGAAGAATATTCAGATCATCTTCAGGTTTTATTATTATAAACAAAATTTGCAATGAATATCTTGTAGATAGAGTCTATATATCTATTTTTTTGTCTGATAAATTCTTAGAATTGAAAATGCTGAATTGAAGGGAATACACATTTAAAATTGTGATAGGTATTCCAAATTGCCTTCTTAAAAGATAGTACCAGTTTATAACAGTATATTGTAACCTCATGCCTTTTCAAAACTGGGAATTATCATATTCTTTAATATTTTCTAAGCTGTATACAAAAGTTATCTTGTTTTAATTTGCCCTTATGGTATTTGATTTTTGAATGAACTTTTCTATCTTTTTATATATTTATTAACCATTTGGCTTTGTTTTTTATCTGGTTATTTGGCTTTTTAAAATTGGTTAGTAAATGCTTTTTGGACATAATGGTTATTAATCTTTTGTCTATTCTGTTTCTTCCAGTGTGTCAATTGTCATTTACTTTTGTTTATGGTCATTCAACAAATATAAATGTCTAATTTTTATGGAACTTTTTAAATCTAGGAACCAATTTCCCTACATTTTTCCAATCCTTTGTTTAGATCTTTCAATTGTTTTATAGTTTTTATTGCATGTTTCTTATATTTATTCCTACATGTTTTAAAATTTTTAGAAATTGTACTTAAAATTTGAGTGGGATCTTTATTCCCCATAACATTTTTTATTTGGTTATTGGGAAAGTAATGTATATATGTTTGTATGTTTATATGTTTAATACTTATCTTGTAACTGACTAGTTGGTCTCTATTTTTTTTTTTTTTTTTTTTTTTTTTTGGAGACAGAGTCTCACTTTGTTGCCCAGGCTAGAGTGAGTGCCGTGGCGTCAGCCTGGCTCACAGCAACCTCAGTCTCCGGGGCTCAGCAATCCTACTGCCTCAGCCTCCCGAGTAGCTGGGACTACAGGCATGCGCCACCATGCCCGGCTAATTTTTTGTATATATATTTTTAGTTGGTCAATTAATTTATTTCTATTTTTTTTTGGTAGAGACGGGGTCTCGCTCAGGCTGGTTTCGAACTCCTGAGCTTGAGCAATCCGCCCGCCTCGGCCTCCCAAAGTGCTAGGATTACAGGCGTGAGCCACCGCGCCCGGCCGGTCTCTATTATTAATGCTAGTGGTTTTTCAGTTGATTGTCTAGGTATGCAATTACCTTATTTGCAAATAATGATAATCTTATCCTTTATTTTTTACTATTTTATATATACAATATATATAGGTGTGTCTTATATATATATGTTTAATACTAAGTATATTGTTAACTCTATTCTAATAGATTCCCTTTATTTATTTAAGGAAGTTTACCTCTATTCCAAGTTTAGTATGTTTTTTACCATCAGAAATAGATATTTGCAATAATTATATATTTTTTCTTTTGACTATTTTGTAATCAAGTAAATTAATAATTTTCTTGTGTTGAACTTTTGTTTTCTTGAAATAAACATTTTTCATTCTTATTTTATTTGAATAAAAATTTGACTTTATTTAGGACATTTACATACATATATATGTTTGGTTTATGTATTAAACTATGCAGTTAGATTTTGTATTAGGTTATGTAATCCTTGTGGAATGAATTCTGAGGCTTTCTATCCTGAGCTTGGAAGTGTTTAACAATAAAGCAATAATCTTTCTGTTTCTTGAAATTTTGGTAAAATTCACTTATAAAACCTCTTTAGAGGGTACTAAGGGTAAATCTTTATTACTTTTTCAATTTCTTCTGTTGAAGGTTACTGACCTGTTTTTTCCTCTTTTTGAGTCAACTTTTAATTAAATATTATTTATGTAAATATTAATTAGTTAATTTTTTTCAAAATTGTCTATTTTATCTAGATCAGTAGTTCTCCGAGTGTGATCTAGGAACCCCTAAGCATTCAAAAGTATTAATATTTTTATAATATATAATAATTTGCTTTTTTCATTCTCATTTTTTCAAGAGTATACAGTAGAGTTTTCCCTAGGCTACGTGGTATGTACTATTCAGCAAATGAATGTGGAAGCATATATAAAAATCCGGCTATCTTCTATTAAGACATATATATTAAAGAGATTTGCAAAAATGTACCACAATGCCACTCTTCTCACTAAATTATTTTGTTTGAAAAATGTATTTTTCCAAAAAAAATTATTTATGGTAACATGTAATGGATTTATTGCTGTCTTATTAATTTTAAATGAATTATTATTTTTTAAAACATAGTTTAATTAATAATACAGTAAGTATTGATAGCTATGACTAGCATAAACAAAAGCTGTTGGGGGCCTCAAAAACTTTAAAGAATGGACCATGTTGTTTAACCAAAATGTTTGAGAGCCACTGATCTAGATATAACAATTTAATTTTTTTGAAGGTATGTGTAGGTACTCATCTTCTATAATTCCTTAAATCTTCTTCTATTTTTTTTTTAATAGAGACAGGGTCTTGCTTTGTCACCTAATTTGTTGGAGTGCAAATTAGGCACTCACTGCGGCCTTGAACTCTTGGGCTCATGAGATCCTCCTGCCTCAGCCTCCCAGGCAGCTGGGACTAGAGGCGTGAGCTACTCTCCCTGGCTAATTTATTTTTGTTTTTGTAGAGATGGAGTCTCGCTGTTGCCCAGGCTGGTCTTGAACTCCTGGCCTCAAGCAATATTCCCATCTCGGCCTCCCAAAGTATTGGGATTACAGGTGTGAGCCACCATGCCTGGCCTCTTTAATTTTCTTTAAATAGAATATTCTACCATACATGTAAATATGTTTATGTCTATATGTGTATCCTTGCACATATGAATGTGCATCCTTGTTTTTACACATATATTGTGTGTCTCTGTTCATGTGTGCTTGTGAGCAGAACTGCAACTTGGATGGAAGCATTGGCCTAGTTGGTGTTTTGGGTCCTCCTTGTGGCTGATTTTGTCCATAGACCAAGTTTATAGAAGTGATTTAGATATGTGAGCTAGTAGACTTCTGACGATAGTCCTGGATGAAAGGAATAGAGTTCCCTATCCCAGGGCAGGAGGAATTGGAGGCTCCTTGAAGGAAGTTGGTGTTTAAGGCCAGCCTCATCTGAGGGTTGCACTGGATTTCTTGAAACCCATGTTGTGCTCAAGACAGGAATTCAGAAGTGTCCTTAGACTAGGGCTTCACTGTACAAAGTCCTGACCACTATGAATGTATCAGTGAGGATGCTGGTTCTCTAAAATCAGATTCAAAGAGGAAATACATTTGCACTTCTCAGCCACACCCAGTTGCCAACAGATGTTTATTGGTTTTTTGCATCACTGATGTTAACTCTAGAGTTACCTGAAATTCAATTGCCAAGTTATCTCTCATTGTTACATGACACTAAAGGATAAGACAGCCATATCTATCTTTATTTATTTCATCTATCCCAGAGTCTTTCATTCGTTTCAGCTGTTTTGTCTCTTCTGTTCCCCCTCACTGCCTCTACTCCTATTCCACCCCACTTGTACAATTTCCTCTTATGGTTATTTCCAATCAAATCCTTCAGAACTAAGCAAACATCAGCACCTACAGTGTTGAGAGATGCAATGGAAAATTCCTTAAAATTTACAATATAGAAATAGCAATTCTGGGAACTGGGTTAATAGAGCTGAATAACTAGTTTGGCCCTGCAGATTCATTCTATCTTTGCTGATCTGTCCTTGCTTTTCCCTTCTCACTTGTCCAGAAAGAAAATGTTCAGCCTTTTTAGTGCTATCTAAAGGTTTTTATTGCCAAAGTAGCAGGAAAACCTAGAGTTAACCTAGGTCTCACTTCATTTTCTTTTTACTCAGCTGTGTAGGGTAAGATAATATAGAGGATTTTGATGGGTTCTTAAACATGGCTGACATGAGTTTATTCATCAGAGAAGACACCCAGATTCAGTCTGTTGCACACAGACTGAATCTCTGTGTCTTTTCACCACAGGGTCTGACAGCTGAGACTCTGGGGAAAAGAAAAGAGTAGGATTGGAGCAGGAAGGTGGTGGGGGTGAGGAGACAGTGGTGCAGTCAATACAGTGATAGGGTCAAGTAGTGGTTACAGAAGCACAGTCTCCCTTCCTCTCTTACCTTCCTCTTTCTGTCACCACGCCTGAGACACAAGGTGAGGAGCAGGTCTGGTGAGGCAGAAGTTTAAGGTTATAGCAGGCTGGGTGTGGGGAAGAGAAGAAAGAAATCTTCAGCAGTTATTCTGGGTAGAGAGAAGGAAGAGAAGTTTTTCTTGTTACTACTTTATTGAGCCCAGTTCCCAACGGGCTATTTGTGTGCAAGAAAAAATACATAAATGTGTATATGTATATGTGTGTGTGTGTTGGGAGAAGATTTGGGAGCAGGGGGTACTGCTAAATGCCTCCAGCTGCCCACTTGACAGTCATTTCCATATTGGTACAAGTCTATGTTTCTATTACTTTTGTTATTGTGAATGAGACCAAGAGATATATAGGATTCAAAAAACTTTAAAGTCTGAGAGGCCTTGGTGGCAATTTAGAAACCTCAACATCACTGCCAGTCCTCAAGTCTTGCCAATCTGTATCCTCATTATCTCAAGTTGCCTACTTCTCTTCATCCCTACTAGCACTGCCATAATAGATTATTTCTTGCTTGAATTACTGCTTAAGTTTGTCAAATGTCTTCATTTTCCTTAGTTCCTTAAGGACTTTTCTTTGCTTAAAATCCTTCTGTGGCACCATATTGTCTGAAGGCAATATTAAGCCCCTTAACATGGGTGCACTAGTCCTATGATCTAAGTCCTGTGTCCTCCTTTGCATTCCCCAGCACACATCTTAGTTCTTTAGGGACCACTGACTTACAGTTCCCAGAACCTTCCCAGTGCTCTCTGGCTTTTGTATCTTAGGGTTTCCTTTGTTTGGAACATACTTTCCCCATTTACCCATTTAATTCTAAGTAACTGATCCTTCAAAGCAAGCTTGTTGTGTTTTTTTTGTTTTCTGAGTTGCCTGGACTACAGTGCTGTGGCATCAGCCTAGCTCACAGCAACCTCAAATTCCTGGGCTCAAGTGATCCTCTTGCCTCAGCCTCCCGAGTAGCTGAGACTACAGGTGTGTACCACCACACCCGGCTAATTTTTACTATTTTTAATAGAGATGGAGGTCTCACTCTTGCTCATGCTGGTCTCAAATTCCTGAGCTCAAGTGATCCTCCTGCCTTAGCCTCCCAGAGGGCTAGGATTGCAGGGGTGAGCCATCGTAGCTGGCCTTTTCCTGCAAAGTTGAGCTGAGCATTCTTTTTGTGTCCCCGCTAAGTATATCTCTGTCATAGCCCCCTTTCATTAATCTTATTATTAATACTATAATTTTTTTTATATAATTTTACTTCCCTTTTTTTTTCTCTCTTATTTCATGAGTTTGCTCATGGACAGAGACTGGTCTTTCATATCTGTATTCTCAGGAAAGATCTCACCACATAGGCAGTACCCCCTAAATAATCAAGTATTGACTCCCTTCATCTTAAGGTTGAGAAACCAAGGCCCAGAGAGAGAAGCCACCTTGGTAGTGATCACACAATATTTAGAAGCAGAGCCAGCCTTTCAGGAATTGTAGACACAGATGTCTGTAAGGGCCAGGTAGGCAACAAAAATGAGAAAAGTGGGCTGGGCACATTGGCTCATTTTTCTGGAATGTATGACTTTCTTATACTATATGTGTGATGAATATTTGGTACAAGAAATATTTTATTTTCCTCTTAAACTGCCACATGAGAAAGATGGTAGTATGCAAATGATGATTGTGATTTGATGAATTACAGAAGATTCAAAGATCAAATGTTCCTTTTCTATGGTGCCATGAGACTTTTGTGTATACATAAATGTGGATCTTCTCATGTTACAGTTTCAGTCTTGAGTTCATGTCCTAGCTTGGCACTGAAAACCTTCTGACCTTTCCAGTTTCATTATTGAACCCCTGCCTTCATTTATGCACACACATACATACTCTAAGCTCCAACTTTACTGAATTGTAGTTCACCAACATGCCTTTTTTTAAGAAAAAAAATTGATTCCTAAATATTAGGGGGTACAAGTGTTCATGTTACATGGATAGATTGTATAATGCTGAAGTCAGGGCTTTTAGTGTGCCTACCACCAGAATAGTGTACAATCTGCCAAATAGGTAAGTTTTTATCTGTAACCCCCCTACTACCTCTGCTTCAATCAACCTCAATCCCTCGTTCCACTGTCACCCACTCTCACTGGTGCTAGATGAACTTCTAGTTCAGAACCCTAAGCTCAAAAGCCATTTGCAGTTCTAGACCTTCCAGTCTATGGTCGGGGGAGAGAGAGAGAGAGAGAGAGAGAGAGAGAGAGAGAGAGAGAGAGAGAGAGAGAGAGAGAGAGAGAGAGAACGAACACATGCATGTGTTAGTGTTACCAGGGTATATAAGCACTTTAGCAAGCACTTATTCAAGTGCCCCATTTAGAACTTGCCTAAAATTCTCAAAGTTAAGCATAGTCCAGGATTAAATTGTGTGGTTCCTGAATTTTCAGGAGGTGACATACTGCCTCTGGTATCAGATTTGATTAAACTTGATAACTTTAATGCCATTTGGTTCTACTGGGGAGAAAGAATTTAATTGCTTACTCTAGAGAGTGGATTCTTTTCTATTGACTAAGGAATAGAACATTTATTAAATTATCTTGGTGACCTGAAAGGGAAAAAATATGCTTTTGCCAGAAGCAGGTCCAGGGCATTATTAGCATGTGGTAAAAATTGAATAATTGAGCAATACTGACTTCTTTGGGATTCAGCCTTCTAGCCCCTGCTGTGTGATTAGTTCTGTCCAACCTGCTGGCATGCTTGAGCAGGGAGCCTGCAGAGGATTAGGAAGGAAAAACCCTTTAGCAAGTCTCAGGTACTGAAGACATTTGATTTAATTTCACATTAAACATGGTTATTCAGTTTCCCTTGGCAGCCTCTAGTTCTGCCCTACTTTATAATCAAGGGATGGCAGACTTGATGGCATCATCTGGAAGTGACTGTAGAGAACAGCATTTGCCTCAAAAGGAGAGACACAAAGTTCACTGAGAAAAGACAGAAGAGTCTGAGGTCCCTTAAAGAAGAGACAGATGGTTCTCTGTAAGTCAGATTTCTAATCGAAGAGGGAGGTTCTGGAACTACCTACGGCAGAGCAGTTTGAGGATATGAAGACATGGGATCAAGTCCTGGGAACCTTTTAAAGGGTAAATCTGAATTTTATTATTTGTAAGTTGCAGATAAGGTTTCAGCCCAACAACAATAATAACTACCAGTTATTCAGTACACTCCAGCAATCTTACTTGGTTCTTTACAAATGCAATTTCATTAAACTTACAATATCCCTGCAAGGGCAGTGTTAATATCCCTGTATATTTGAGGAAATAAGTATTTCTAGATCTTTTAAAGTATGAGGCTGAAGAAAGGATGGGACAAAATTGACCATAGGGTCTCAGCTGTAGGAGACCATTATTTATTTTTTCAATGATCTCCAAGTCTTATAAGTCTCAATAGCCTTCATTATAAAATAGTGTACTAACAATGTCCATTAATGATAACATTTAGCCATCCAGAAAAGTTTATAGTCATCTTAATCCAACTCTCTCATTTTACTCTTTAGGAAATTGAGTCCCATAGATTAAGTAAAGCCTAAAGCCAGGTTTCCTGACTTGTGCTAATTTGTGTATTATAATACCATGCCCATGAACTTTGAAATTGGGCTTGAATAAATATGGAAGGAAGGAAGGAATGGGTCTTACAGTACTACTGCAAATGGTGTTAGATTGAGCTAGCAGAGTAAACAAACTAACAGATCAAAAGGTACTGGGGAGACATTCAGGTACCAGGAACAGTTCTTACTTAGCTGGTGATTAATTTACTCTGTTTGGCTCAAGTCTGAGAGAATTAATGTACCTAATGTTTCTGAATGATCATTAGTCTTTAGACATCTCTAGAGTCTCGTTTGTCACTTGAAGGAAGTCCTGTCAGTTTAGAAGGATGGGGCTCTATATTTGAACCACAGCATATACTTAAATGAAACCATGTCTTGAGTGGATGTGAATGATGACTGGACATTTTTGTGACATGTAGAAGCAGAGACTACATATGGTATTTTATGGACTTTATATATATATATATATATATATATTCCTGTTATGTTTACAAATGTTATATACTGTGGCAGGACATGAATTACTTTTCTTTAAGGTGAAAGCTGTGGGAGTCTAATGGAAAACTGAGAAATCTTAGTATCATGTACTCATTCTGCAAAGCATTTTACATAAATTTCATTTAATCCTCATAACTGTGATTTTGAATGTTATTGTCTTCATTTTAATAATTTTTTTCAGTTTATTAATCCTTCCCAGAATGTTTTCCCTAATATTTATTATGAAAGTTTTCAAACATATATAGAAAAGTTGAAAGAATTATTAGTGAACAGCCATATAGCCACTTAGATTCTGTAATTGTTACTATTCTTTAAATATTTGCTTTATTATATATCTAGCCATCCATTTATCCATCTTTTTGTTGTATTTCAAAATGAATTGTAGACATTACTACATTTTACCTTTGAACACTTAAGCGTAGATATCATTAACTAGATAGAGTTAAAAATGTTAGCCTTAATTTACAAAACAAATAAAACCTTGGGTCTTCAGTTGTATGTTTTAGGGACTGTGCACTTAGTCACTTTGGGCTTTCCCCCATGAAATAATAAGATATTTTAAATGTAAGCTACACATGCTAAGAAACACTCATACCTCATTAATGAGAAATAGAAATCTATAGGGAGGAGGGGGATACCCTGTTGAATTCCTAGGCCACAGCAAGCCAGCATTGCAAAGTGAAATCTTACCTCATTTCTGATTTTAAATGAGAGTGAAGTCATTGCCACATTTCAGAACACTGACTCCTCTCCTAAAAAGGGGAGTTTGATTAGCAAATTAGTTAAGCACTTCAGCAATGGTATTGGGACTTAATTTCACTGACATTTTCCTCCTTTTTTTTTCTGGGTGTGACTAAATTGTCTACAGCATGCTGCATGGTTGCTGGTAAAACAGGAAATGGGGTAAGTAATTTAGGGAGGGAATTTTTACTACCTTTTAAATACAGGCTATCTGATGCTTAAAGTACTTTTACTACTATCTGTTTTCTAGAGTAAATTCACTAGCTACTAAAGAAATTGACTAGATTTATTGTATAAATTTAGGGTGTCACCTTTGTTTAATTAGTTTATTTGCATAGCATATTAGTAGTTCATTAAAACAGATTCATTTTATGTGTGATGATTTAATGTTAATGTAAATACATATTTTATATGCATTAGGCACTTATATAATGTAGTTTAGGAAGTTATTTTAAAAGAATACATTTTATATTGGTCTTACAAACTAAATTATAAAACTATGCCACAAAAAATAAAAAGTAAGATCCTAGCTAAGACAGAAAACAGTGAGTTTGTACATAGATCAGACATAGAAAACATAAGTTCACAATTTTTTATCTGAAACCCTTGCAGGCCCAATGTGTTTTGAAATTTAGAATTTTGGGATTTTAAAAATCTAATATAGTGTTTAATATCATACATATATATCATACCTTTCCCCTCCAGGGTCTGGAGTAATACTGTATAATCAAACATTAATATTTCTACAATGAACATGAATATTCACACTAAGTTTGATAAACAAAGTCTTTAAATAACCTCATGCATTCAAATCAGGATTTGATTGCCAACTGAGTTCAACAAAAACAAATTTAATTGTCCAGCCTTTTTGAGTTTAGAACTAAAAATTCTGTACTAATATAAGAAGGGCCAGGTGACTGTTGGAGGTTCCTGCGTATTCTGGAGAGAAAAGCCCAGAGAGAAGTTTAGATTTCTATATTAGAATCCCATACTTGGTTAAGTGACTTATAGAAAAAGTAATTAGTTTGGCTTTTTTGTTTTGTGTTTCACACCCGCATTTTTAAAAGGGTAATAACCACATATTTATCAAAGGTTTGGGGGTTTAATTAGGTTTTATTAAATTAGTCTCAAATGCTTATGATTCTGGTATAATAACAAAATTTGATCCTGTGTTTCTAGAAATTTATTAGTGTAGTCAGAACATGCTTTTTTCTAAATGGTTTCAGTTTAAATCCACATTGCTTATGAGTTACTGTTTTTATTACTTATCAAAAAATTTTAACCTAAGCTTAGTTCTTCCAAAAGACCCTGATTGATACAAGGATACTAGAACAGAAAACATATAGAACATTGATTTTTTTTTTCTTTAGAGTCCCTAGTTCATTCTATGTTGAAAAGATTGTGGAGGAATTGCCAGTAAAGAATCAATTCAGGGAATTTAGAAAAAATTAATTGCCTTGCATATTTGGTTCATCTTTCTTCTAGAATAGTGGTTATGCTGTATCTATAGCAAAAGTGATTACAACTGACATCCTCATCAGTCATTATGTGACAGAGAGGAGAGAAATGCAGTTACTAAGTACTAAATGGGGACTGAATTTACTTTAGTGAGTACTAATCCTTCTAAAGGATTAATTATTATATTTTTGCCTTATAAGTAAGGCTAAGGTTTCTAAGCTGTCTGTTAACCCTTTCTGCTGGCTCTTAATCTGGAGGGGAAAAATACCTGTAGTTGAAATATTTTAACTGGACTAAGATGCTCTAAATATATTTTAAAGAATGTGGAAGATTTAAAACACCAGTTTTCATAAATACATAATGAGTAAATGTTTAACTCATTTTTTAGGATTGGGTTTTGCTATAACCCTTTGAACTTTATAGAATCTAAACAATTTTTAAAATAGTTTTGATTCTTGTTTTTTTTGAGACAGAGTCTCACTTTGTTGCCCAGGCTAGAGTAAATGCCGTGGCATCAGCCTAGCTCACAGCAACCTCAAACTCCTGGGCTCGAGCAATCCTGCTGCCTCAGCCTCCCGAGTAGCTGGGACTACAGGCATTAGCCCCATGCCCGGCTAATTTTTTCTATATATATTAGTTGGCCAATTAATTTCTATTTTTTATAGTAGAGACAGGGTCTCGCTGTTGCTCAGGTTGGTTTTGAACTCCTGACCTTGAGCAATCCGCCTGCCTAGGCCTCCCAGAGTGCTAGGATTACAGACAGGCGTGAGCCACCGTACCCAGCCGATTCTTGTATTTTCATTTCAACTCTTTATCCTTTAAAATGTATTCTCATACATTATTTACTTTCAACTGTGATGCATTTTTGTGCAAATATCATTGATTAATTAAACTGTTGATACAATATCAGGATAGTCTTTTACAATACTAAATGTTTCTGATATTTGGAGAATTAGGAACAGTTTATGAACCTGAAACATTTAGTGTTTGAAGAAGTTCTGAAATGTAGAGAAGTAATTTGGTTATTTGTCAGATGTAGAGCTTATCTGGGTATTTCATTGTTAAACCACAATCCCAAAGTCTATGAAAACACTCTCTGTAACTGTTATATTCTCAGCTGGATACAGAATGGGTAGATCAACTATTTCTTAATTTGCATTTTTAGAGGCACAATGATCTTTATTCTTTTTTTTCCTGATCAATTAAATTTAGCCATTAGCTAAAATACATTTGTTTTCTACCTGTAGTTAGTAGTGTCTTTCAGTCTTGCAGAATTTAATTACAATGGATGATTACCTATAAGTAGTAATTTTTATCAATGAAAATCAGGCATTAAAGGGGATTATTCACAAGTTGGCCCTTACATCTCTTTTGTTAAAAGCAGCCCTGCAAATAGCCATAAGGTTGGTTTGAAGTTTTAATTATTTGAATGATGTGAGCTTGTTAGTAATATCCCGGTATTCTTAGTGGAGTAGAGCAGTTTTAACAATACCATACCATATTTTTCATTCCTTTTACCTCAGGTTCCTTTCTGTCACAATTTTAGGTTACAAACTTAAGCTGGAACTCATAATGGGGACTTCCGATTATTGGCTCATAAATAGATTTGGATGATGTCAGATTTTTATTCAGAAATTTACCTGATAGTACATCAATGAACATTTCAGAACATTGATACTTCAGAACTTAATATATCTTATTCAGCAGTAAAAGAAAAAATATAGCTTTTACATTGATTTCCCCAAAATAAGCGCCATTTTCAGCAGGAGGGGAGATGCAAACACTTTAAATATGGATGGTATTATGATAATATACAGTTTTGTAGTTTGTGAGCAATAAACAATCATCTCTATTTCATCTTTCTGTCTTCTGATATATAAATTCTGGAATCTGGCAATTCTAGCTCAGAAGAACCCATTAGTGTGCTTTGTCTTTGAAGATTTAAAAATTGTCTCATATGCTATTAGAAAAAGTAGTTCTATGATTCCACCCACTAGAATATAAGTTTCATGAGGTGAGGCTTTTTTTGTCTATTTTGTTCTCTGCTTTCTATCTAATGCATAGAGTTCCTTGGCACATAGTAGGCATTCAGTCAATATTTTTTTAACAATTGCATAAATTCTTGCCTTTAATAGAAAAAGTGAAGTTTTTCATGTCAGTGAATTAATGTTTATGTTATTCAGAAAGCAGAGTCTGTCGCTGGGAAGAAATGATATAGTTCAGCTAAAAGAAGCCTACAAATGGATAACTCACCCCCTGTTTTCAGAGGAACTGGGTGTTCCCATTGATGGAAAGGTATTGGGTCATCAGCATTGTTAATTTCATTCTCTGATTTTACTAGTTTTACTTCATTATATGGGAGAGTTTGGGTTAGCCAAAGGAATCTTCTTTTTAAATAATCCAGTGAAGGATTTTTAAGCTTTTAAGATTGTAATTTCTAATTGTGTTAAGTTGAGGTTCAAGCCATTCTTCTTTTTTTTACCCCCAAAGAGTTCTTTGTGATCCAAGACACTTATGAATATAACAGGTGCAGTGTACCCTAATTGAGCTTAAAAGGTTAGAAATGAATCTTTGCCTTTAATGTATTTATAGTTTAATTGTAGGAACAGAATTACTGATATAAAGCAATATACAAATAACTGTGAGCAAGTGTATAGTCAACTCTAGACTATTTAATTTTGGTTTATCTATGGCTAATCTTGTTTTCAAATACATAGAATCTATTCAACTACAGTGAAAGTGGGCTCAGTCTATCCTACCTTGTTGGTATCTCAAATCCCTCTGTTTAATCTTAGGCAATAAGTGTCTTTAAAACCAGAACACTCCCCTTTTCCAGAGCAGACCTTGCCTCAGTCTCTGGAATGGATTGAACTTCAGGAAAGAGCTCAATAGATTTCCGTATGTGAAAACAGAACATATTCTCAGGTCATCTTAAATTCAATTTTAATAGTATGGCCTCATTGCTTCATCATTTTGCTTGAAGGAAATTCCCTGAATATCAGATACACCCCTATTCAAGTAAAATCACAAAACCATCTTCTAAAGCTTGTTTTTTTTAACCATTCTGAATTATATAGCTGTATTTCCTTCTGTTAGTAAGAATAAGTTCTGACTGTTCCTTAAACTGAATATTGAGAAAATAGAAAATAAAACCACTTCACAGATAGTATAAAGAGGAAATGAGGTAATGAAAGTACTTTGGAAATTAGAGAAGTCATTAATGCAAAATATTTTTACCTCAAATTTCAGTTTTCAAGTGTAACTCATTTTACATGTTGAATCAGTGAGAACAGAAAACAGAAAACAAAAGATGCAATAATGTTATAGATTCAGGTTGAGTGAAGCTTTCTTGAATAAAAGGAATGTATTATTCATTTTAATTTTATTTTGTGGATTAGAATAAGGAACAAAAAACCTGCTATTCATTATTATGATTCTAGAGTAGCTATAACAGGGTTGTTGATCTAATGAATCCAGTAAATACAAAAATCAATAAATATAGAACTCAAAACAGACAAAATTTTAATATGATATGATTTTTTTCAATGTATAATTTTGTATATTCTCCATGGAGGAAAAAGTTTATAGAGTATGAAATTGTGCCTTTTTGGTGTGTAAGAATGTTCATTGTATTATTTTTTTAATAACAAAAATTTTCTACAATTTAACTGTCCAACAGTCCCTAGAGTTGAAAAGATATCCATGATGTAATATTAAATAAAGCAATTTTCCAAAAGCTTGTTTAATATCTCAAAAATTATATATACATGTTTTCATTAAAATGGCTAGAAAGAAACACACCAAACTGTTAATAATTGTGAAGTGGGAGTGAAAAACCATCCTGTATTTATTTTATAATTTATGTGTATCACTTTTATAATAAAACAAAACATTAACATCTCTTTTTTAAAACTCAAATCCATTAAGAAATTTGAGCACTTTAAAAAGAAGCTTCATACAGTTTTTAAGGATGTGAATAAAATGTGTTTTTGCCTTGCTAATAATTCTTTTTTTTTTCCTTTTATTTCATCATATTATGGAAGTACAGATATTGTTAGGGTTACAAATATTGCCCCTGCCCCCTCTCCCTCCCCCCATGTGTCCAATCCCCGGGTGGTGTGCACCACACACGTTATGAAAGCATACACCTCTTTCCTCCTCCCCCCTCCCACCTGCCCACCACCCAATAAAAAGGTTTTTTTTGCCTTGCTAATAATTCTAATCATAGTATTAACAGAATAATTCTTCATTTTCTAATCTCTTTCTAATTCTCTGAATTCCCATTTAGCTTCATACCTAATTTACATATTTGTCTAAAAATAATACAAATTTATTTAAAAATTTACTTTAAACCTTTTTGGTAGGATCACTAATGACTGAGTTGTAGAAATTAAAATAAATAAAGAAGTAAACAAACTATTTCCTTTACAGCTGCCCTGTGAACAAGCTGATATGAGAGCAGTAATATTTCCAGTTTTCCTTGGCACTCTTCTTCTGAGCTAATCTTTGAGAATTAATTTATATTTCTATTCATAAGTTGTTAGATGTTAGTTTCCTTTTGCTCATTTTTAAACTGTCTTTATAATTTTTAGAGCTTGTTTGAAGTGAGTGTGGTGTTTGCTCACCCAGAAACAGTTGAGGATTGCCACTTCCTGTAAGTTGCCACGTAAACAACAATGTCAATTTTGTAAAATTGTTAATCCTGTTTGGTTTTCATGAAAATAGTATTGCTTCTCTTTCTGATGAGCTTTTTAGAACTTGTCATGTCTTAGTAGGTTTAAAATGTGCCCTCTCACTGAGGTTCCTAGGAAAACCAATGCAACTCAACTAGGGATTCATTTTGTCTGCCCTTGATATCCTGAGTTTAGCAGCCATGTTATATAAAATATATTTGAATTATATCAACCCAGAAATGAATTTGTTAACCTTGTATTTTAACTTGAATTTTAGAGGTACGATATGCCCAGATTGTTTCAAGCCAGCCAAAAACAAACAGGTAAGAATTCCCGCTTCTTATTCTTTTTAGTGAGTTAAATCTGAGCAGAATATTCAAATTAACAGTAAAAAGCATATGCATTAGAATTGTGGCAACTCTGTTATACTAAGAATTAGTCTTTAAATATTTCCACTTGCTACATTTATTTTTATTTCATTCCATTTTTTTCAACCTTTACTTCTGGCTAGGGAGTCGGAGCACACAAACATCCTCATGTTGTGTCAGTGTCTGGGTTGTCCCCTGATGTCAAACTTAGAACCAGTGTTTCAATGATGTACCTATTACCCATTTGGGGAAATGCAGCTTTTAGATTTTAATCCCCCAAATTACAGCATCTGGGAAAATCCATGGTAAGGATCAGTAGTGTTCCAAACTTTCATCTAATATCCATTTTCCAGAAATTGGTGTTTATATAATCCAAAGTAAATTATTTTAATTAGGACAGCCCTGAATTAATATATAGTCTATTTCAAGCTACATTTGCATAAATGACATTTTATTCAAACTCCCCTTTACATTCTAATATTAGCTTATCTTCATGTTACTGAGCAAATTAGTTAGCATGTACTTTTAGTTCATATTATGCCAGCATAGAATGGCATGACACGATATTGGCAATCTTTCACACCCCCGTTATGTAACTGGTTTTGTACACAGAATCTAGCATTCCTACAGTTTTACTGACATCTATTTTGTTGTTGTGGTTGTTAAAAAGAAAATAAGTTTATTATCAGAGATACAGCTGTTGGTCTTAACTCTTGCTCTGACTAATTGCTGGGCCTTTTAGAACTGGGGAAAAAAGTATAACATTAGCCAAATACTCTATGTTGAAATAACTAGAAATGCAGGCCAAGCCTAAAGCTTCCCTACTTTTCTTATATCATGGTAAACTTAGAACATTACCATGTTTGTTGAGTACCCTGAGGTTTAGAGGTAAAGTTACTCCAGGTTGGAAGCAACAGGCCTGGGAGTTTTTATTGACTCAGGCCCTGCCCAGCAGCCCTTTTGAACTAAAAAGGTTGATATCTTGGCACAGCTGTAGTCCATTGCTATACCAGTTGGGAAGCTCTGCCCAAATGACCTGTAAGTCATATTTATAATAAAGATCTAGTTTTATTTTTTGTTATCTTTGAGGAAATATTCAAGTTCTAGCATCAAATAATAGGATAAGGAAATTTTTGTCAAAGCATCATAGACACCACACCATTTGGCAAGTGGGAGTTGTAGAGTCTCAAATGTAGTTTTCTGGTCTCATGCCTGGGAGTAAATTAAATGACCTTTTGAGATTTTTTTCAGGCCTAAGATTTCATATCTTATCAAACAGGCATTGAATTTTCAGTTCTAGCGCTATGGTACCTTATAGAACTCCCTAGGGTTCCCCAGAATATGGTTTAGAAAAATCATTGCTTTGGATGATAATAAACTGTTAAGATGCCTACATTGTACTCCTTTTCAGTCAAATGTGATTTCTCATAAGAGAAGAAATAATTGTGATTTATCATAGCAAGCCATCTATATGCACTAATTAGTTCTGGTAGGTCTCCTATGCAGTTTAACTTTTCTTATCTTACAAAAACCAAGGGAGACATTTGTTGTACATGCCCTTCTATTCAGTAGAATGGATTTGTTTACTTTTTTGTCACTGGTGAGTAATACTGAGTTGCTAGATGCCAGGGCAGGCTGGTTGGTTGTTTTATCCCTTACCCTGGGAGCCAACTCCTAAATTATATACTGTGGCTTCTGAAGGGATGTAGGGAAGAAAAAGTAGGTGGATCAATCTGAATTGCTGTTGAGGGCTGGGGAAAAAATTCAAAACATATTTTCTGCAATGTCATTTTTGCATTTGAAGAATCTCATATTTTGAGAGGAGTGGGACAGTACAGTGAAGGAGACCTTTCTGCTAGATTTACCTGGTATTATAGACATAGGCTACCAGATGAAAGAAAGGGTTGTAGAGGTATATCAGTTGCAGAACTGACATGAATGCTTAAGTTTTATTTATGTTCTTGAAAATGTTAAGTATTTCTCCCTTTTAAGGATGTAGAATGTTATAATTTCTCCCATGTTCTATGATGTTTCTCTGATGTTTTCTCATCTAGGTGATAAAATGTCTTTTCTTTTCATTTTACCTTATATAGTCGGTATTCACTAGAATGGCAGTCATGAAAGCTTTGAATAAGATAAAAGAAGAGGATTTCTGCAAGTAAGTAGAAGTGTAGAAACAAAGCATTGTGGAATTTTAGAATAAAGGGAATGTTTGAAATAAACTGGATTATCTCTAAGACAAGACTTGATGTATTTCAGGGACCAGGATTGTGTCTTAGTCATTTTTATATCCCCAATCCCTGGCGCAGTACCTGTCATGTAGCAGTGTTCAATAAATGTTTGTCAAATTAATATTTGAGTTTATGAATCAAGTCCAACTTCTTTATCTTTTATAAGAGGATATTGATATTTAAAGAGGGATTTGACTTATTAAGATTTCAACTAGATAATAGAGAGTGGACCTCAAGCCAGATTTCCTGATGACCCAGTCCAGTGCTATTCCCATTACATCTCTAATCCTGTGTTTCCTAGTATTGCCCACCTCTAGAAGAGGGAGAAGGCAGCTCTTGAGTTTCTTCACTTGTTCATATATGCTGAAATACAATAAATGCAATAAATCTTATATTTTTATTCTCACTGCATTCATTTTATTAAAATAAAATATTATAGTTATCCTTCCAGAAGATCCTTGAATAAATTTCAAACAGTGATGTCATAAAGGAGGTTTCATATATTTTGATAACTAAAATGAGTCTCAGAATAGAAGAATCAGTTCTGAGAAGCAGTTCTAACTGCTTTGTCAAGACACCTTGGGAAAGCATATGAAATGTTCAAGCCATGCATTTGGAATTAAATCCACATCTGGTCATTTTATAGGTAGACTCTAGTCTCTGACTTTAGAAATTCTTAGATTGCAGCCAGAGCATAAAATCATATATTGTTCTTTCCTGTATGTTCTCAATTGGATTGAAGTTTCTTAGCTAAGAGGGCAAATTCTACCATATTCCACTTTTTCTGGCTCTGTGGTCTGATTTCCAAGGTCATAGTTGGAATGAAAAGGAAAAAGAGAGAAAAGTAGTAGAGTACCCTCCCTACAGGTGGGACTTACTCATATGACTGGTCTCTAACTATGCACCAGCTTTACCCAAAAGATTGAGGATCATGTAAGCCAGCAGTTAGCAGCAAGTGACCATGGATAGCAAAATAGTTAAAAAGCCTAGAGGGGCTTCCACTTCACATATATGGATTTTCCCCCCAAATCTCAAAGCTGTTGGAAATTATTATCTGGGAAAATGAGGCCTCTTAAGGTTGAAAGGTAGCAGCAGAGCCCTGATTTACTTACTGTCACTCTCCTGTGTTAAAAGTGGTACTCCAGGCGCCTGATAGACCCTTATTGTTCCAAAACTGAAAGTTAGGGAGAGGCTTATTCGTTGGAATACTCAGGTTCTGTGTGTTTCAGACAATGCTAATTCGTCTTAGTTTTGTGATTCAATATTATGTCTGGAAAATAGTAGCTGTAAAATTTATTTTGTTTTGCAGGCAGTTTCCTTGTCCTCCAAACTCACCAAAGGCTGTATGCACTGTTCTTGAAATTGAATGTGCTCATGGTGCTGTTTTTGTGGCTGGTAAAACGTTTAGTCTAGAATATATGACACTGTGAACTTACTGTCCTTTCTGAAAAACTCAACTGACTCCTCTTCTGTTTTATTCTTATTATTGTTATTAGGTTCTGATTAGTTTACTCTTTAGAGAAATAGAACTAATAGCCAAACTTATTTTAGGTTCTGTAGGCATCCTTAAGGATCACTCAGGAGATTGTTAATTAAAATGTCATGCCAAAGGGAAATGATACTTCCCAGGTTTTAATAGTTTTCATCAGAGATAGCCAAGTAGAAATATGGGTATATGCAGAGACCCAAAACTGGTCAGGAGAAAGGCAGCAGCACAGAGGATATTTTATAACATAAAAGCAAACTTGAAAAAATAAATTATCTCCAAAATGTCTAAATACTTGGCTTCCACCTGAAAAAAAAGTTGCATTGACTTTCCCAAGAGGCAATCTAGCAGACAGTTTTTGCTTTTATATAGTAATAGCTGAAATGAAATTATTCTTTAGCCTTGACTATAATATCCTGCCCTAGGGCAATGAAAGCTACTTGCCTTAGTTAACTAGTTTTATTCATAAAGCAGTAAATCATATTCTGTTAGGGTTTTTTGTTTTGGGGTTTTTTTTTACTTAAAAAAACTTCAAAATTTCCTGTATTTGGATTCTTTGGAATACGTTATCTCCAAGAACTATTACATTGAAAGTATTTTTATTTTATTTTATTTTTTTTTTTGAGACAGAGTCTCGCTTTGTTGCCCAGGCTAGAGTGAGTGCCGTGGCGTCAGCCTAGCTCACAGCAACCTCAAACTCCTGGCTCAAGCAATCCTCCTGCCTCAGCCTCCCATGTAGCTGGGACTACAGGCATTCGCCACCATGCCCGGCTAATTTTTTGTATATATTAGTTGGCCAATTAATTTCTTTCTATTTTATAGTAGAGACGGGGTCTCGCTCTTGCTCAGGCTGGTTTCGAACTCCTGACCTTGAGCAATCCGCCCGCCTCGGCCTCCCAGAGAGCTAGGATTACAGGCGTGAGCCACCGCGCCCGGCTTGAAACTATTTTTAATAAGGCGTAAATGCAATAGTTTTTCTTGATCCTTGGTGCATTCTGTAATATTATATAACGTAGGCAATCAGATTAATGAATATATTAAGCATTTCTTCCAAATTCATTTGGTGCACCATTCATATCATGTCTTTAGCCATCTATTGTATTGTTACTTAAGATCTTTTTATTTCATTATCTACATGTCTATATGTGGGCTCCCCAAATTAGATTGTAAGTTAGTTAAAAGCTAGGCCTTGTTTTATATCATAGCACCTATGATATTGGCACTCATTAAATAGTTGTTGCTCCTCTTTTTATCCTATTATGTTTATCACACCATTCCATCCAGGCTACCTGATATTTCTTTGACAGGGAGATATAATAAATACTCCAGAAATCTACCACAAACTCCTTGGATAATTGATGGAGAAAGGAAGCTGGAATCTTCAGTGGAAGAATTGATTTCAGATCATCTGTTGACAGTATTCAAAGCAGAGAGTAAGTTTTAAGTTTTCTTTGTTTTTTGAAAGAGAGAGTCTCATTCTGCTGGCGTGGGCTAGCGTCATCATAGCTCACTCAAATTCCTGGGCTTAAGTAATCCTCCTGCCTCAGCCTCCCAAGTAGCTTGGGACTACAGGCATGTGTCACCACACCTTGCTAATTTTTTTTCTATTTTTAGTGGAGATGGGGTCTTGCTCTTGCTCAGGCTAGTCTCGAACTCCTGACCTCAAGCAATCCTCCTGCCTTGGCCTCCCAGAGTGCTAGGATTACAGGCATGAGCCACTGCACCCAGCCTATAATTTTCATATTTTAAATACATTGTCTATCATTAATAGATTTCTTGGGGGTGGCAGGAAAGATTTCTATATTTTGATAATCATGGCCAACTCTGGGCCCCTTGGCTGTAGGCTTTCCATGAACAGGGATTATCATCATATTCTGAGTGCCTCTGGCCTGACTGGATTTCAGCCAAGGCACCCAAAAATGTTTTTCTTAACTCTCTCAAGATGACTGACTTCTTTTGGGGAAATTCAAAACAGTGGTGAAACTACTTTAAATGAATGCACTTAAGCCCTGACCTTGGTACATCTCATCCTCTGCCTATTTTGGGGGAATATGAGGAAATTAAAACACATCTTCCACATCTAGTTCTTGTTCAAGAGTAATCACTTGCAAATGCCTGCTTCTGTCTTAACCTATAAAGTGTCCTGGGATAAAGTTCAGGTCTAGAGAAAATATTAATAGATCAACAGCAACCATTTTATTATAGAGCAACTTAATGGCAGCCTTATTGTATTTTGATTTCCTCGGTATTAATGAGCTGAGTTTGTGGGATGAGTCAGGTCCCGTCAGGCTTATATTTCCCTTGTCTCAACAGGCCTGTCAAGTCAAAGGCAGCATAAAGTCTTGTAATTTCACATAGGATTAGACAAGAGGAAAGGGACTCAGATTTCAGTTGCAGGAAATTGTGTTACATGTCAGGAAAAAGTGTAAGCAGTAAGTGATGTCACTCTTTGAAATGCAGCTCCTAGCATAATTAGAAAACCCTTTTTTGAGGAACCAGCTAGATATCCATCCTTTGCTCTAAAAGACCTTAAGACAAATGTGCTTTAAGAATGACAAGCGATGGTCTAGGTGAGATATGGCTGTCCCTTCCAGCTCTCTGACTTGCCAGAAAAGGAAAGAGAAGCACTTCAAACTCCGTCTCTTTTATAATTTGTTGCCTATCAGATAGGTGCACCCTTTTTTAATGGTCTTTAAGAATTGTTTACTAAATGAAGAAGTAACTCAGCAACCTAATATTTTCCAAAATCTTAGTAGTAAAGATTCTGGGCTATTACCATGAGCATTTACCTACTTAATTTGGTATTTATAAACTGATTATCCCATAAGACTTATGCAAGTTATGAAGAAGTGAAATAAAGTGTTAGCACAAAAAAGTTCCTTTTACATTTTTCTGGGGGCCACCTTACTCCCTTTCTATAAGAAGATTCAAGAAACCTTCAGTTCTAACTGTTCTAGTCCCAAGGAAGCCCTTGTTACCTCTAGGGCTACTAGAGGGGCTCTTTCAGAGATGTGTTTTCCCCCTTCCAGTCTTTCATGAACGTGGTTTGTTGTCATTTTTCCATTTGAGGTGGAAAGATTGTCCCCAAACTGAAAATAAAGCAAATCATGTGTTCAGTGTCTGAAATGTGTACTGAAGTAATTTACTGAGAGCCACTTGAGAAAAAGCACACGTTGGGGCCTCTGTGCTAACTGGCTCCTTGTCAGGGGATAAAGCCTTGTTGTTTGAAACCCCCAATTAATAGCATCAATTTGCTTAAACTTGTGCTTTGCAGATATATTACTTGTTTTTGATTAATGGTTCACATCTGACAACTCTGGGATGTTGATTCTAAGTATTGTACCCTTAAATTTTATAGCACTATGAAATAAACCAGTATTATGTGGAGCAGCCTAGCTACTTACATAAACATTCCTTCCCCTAAGTGGGATATAGAGACTTGTTTCTCAGTTACTTCAGACTGGCATATTATCTTATCTACTTGCTAATTCCCTAGTTAATAAATAATAAATTTTGATACATTCTTTTTTTTTTTTTTTTTGAGACAGAGTCTCGCTTGTTGCCCAGGCTAGAGTGAGTGCCGTGGCGTCAGCCTAGCTCACAGCAACCTCAAACTCCTGGGCTCAAGCAATCCTGCTGCCTCAGCCTCCCGAGGGGCTGGGACTACAGGCATGCGCCACCATGCCCGGCTAGTTTTATATATATATGTTAGTTGGCCAATTAATTTCTTTCTATTTATAGTAGAGACGGGGTCTCGCTCTTGCTCAGGCTGGTTTCGAACTCCTGACCTCGAGCAATCCGCCCGCCTCAGCCTCCCAGAGTGCTAGGATTACAGGCGTGAGCCACCGCGCCCGGCTGATACATTCTTAATGTGTCTAAAAAAGTTTCCCCTGATACATTTATTACTTCATTTATTGAAGAAATGTTTGTCATGTCAGTTCCCTGCTGAAAACTGGTCAATTGCTAGCTACAGAATAAAGTCCAACTACTTAACTTGATATTCTGAAATTCTGGGCCTTCCTAGGATCCAAGGAAGTTTCCTTAGTTCTCAAGTGTGAAACATTTTTCTAAAAGCTATGATAAATAATACCCCTTTTCCCTTAGTCTGGATTTCGTGCTTCTGTGGTCTTCTTGAGAAACTGGCTTTCTGCACCTCTTTCTTACTGATAGGCTGATTTATGAGTTTAAGATTTCTGGTCTGACTTAGTACTAGCTGATAGACTTATCTTTTTGAGGCCTGTTCATCCCCTTCACCCCTGCCAGTCACAGGTTCTGGATTAGTCACTGTGGAGCCCCTTGGTTCCTTGACTTGGCTGATTGGGAGATGGAGGTTGGCAGGTATAAGACAAACCTTAGACCCAGGGAGTCTGTATCTTGAGCTTCCCAGGTGCCATTTGCATTCTTAATTCAGCTATGGCCATCCATCTGTAGTGCTACACTTTGAGTCTGTTAGCTCTGACTCAAAGCTACTGATGTTGCTATGGGTTTATTAGTAATTTAAGACTGTAGTGTAAACACAGAATGGAGGGTTCTATGGGACTTAGTGGTCATAGAATCCTGCTCCCTGCCTGGCTGCCCTAGTTCTGTACCTAAGAAAGTTGTGTAACCTTTTTTCTTTTTTTTTTTTAATTTAATCATTTTCTCCTTTCAATATTTGCAGCTTTTAGTCTGTGATGATCCATTTATCATAGAGTATACACTGATTTTATAATGGTTCCAGTTTAGCTTTGATTATACATATAATGGATTTGCTTTTTAAAGTCAAACCTTCTTTTTCTCCTCTTCTTCTTTTTTTTTTTTTTTTTGAGACACAGTGTCTCTCTGTTGCCTGGGCTAGAGTGCCGTGGCGTCAGCCTAGCTCACAGCAACCTCAAACTCCTGGGCTCAAGCGATCCTGCTGCCTCAGCCTCCCGAATAGCTGGGACTACAGGCATGTGCCACCATGCCCGGTTAATTTTTTCTATATAGATATTAGTTGGCCAATGAATTTCTTTCTATTTATAGTAGAGAGGGGGTCTCGCTCTTGCTCAGGCTGGTTTCGAACTCCTGACCTCAAGCAATTCACCCGCCTCAGCCTCTCAGAGTGTTAGGATTACAGGAGTGAGCCACCGTGCCTGGCCTCTCCTCTTTTTATAGAATTTAATTCTTGAATAAATGTTTTTCTTTGTTTTAAGGAAAGAAAGAAAGATGATAGAGTTTTCACCATAAGGTTGTGGTGGTGGTGGTGATGGTGGTGACCTTCCTCCAAACAGTGCTCTGCCTTTGGCTTTCCCATGAGGCAGTGACATGGGATGATAGTTAAGGTCTGACTTTAACATCAGAAATACCTAGCTCTGTCATTTAATTATGTGACCTTGGGAAAATTACCTAACTTTCTGAAGGTTGATGTTCTTTTATTTAATATTTACTTCATACGCTTATAATAAGGATTAAATAAAATAATGTATGCATAATTTTTAGCCCAGTGCCTAGCATAAAATAAATATTCAATAAATGGTATTTATTGTTACCATTACTATTTTTAGTAGAGATTAGGATTAGAGGAAGAATGATGACTGTCATTTGGGATTCTCTTGTAGATTGTTCAAGATCTTAAATTGGTTTTCTTCCAAAGGTTAGGAACAAATATCGTAAGGCTATGTTTCTGATTTTTTTTCTTTATCTGCTTTCTAAAGGTTTTAATTTTTCATCCTCTGGAAGAGAAGATGTAGATGTGAGAACATTAGGAAATGGTAAGATTGCAACAGCATCACCTGATTAGAACTAACTTTACAATTATCACCTTTCCAGACAGCAGGCCTACTATAGTCACTTAATCAAAACCAAAATGAGCAGAGCCCAGAGCTTCTCCAAGTTAGGAAACTTTGTGGATTATGGAGCTACCTTTATAAATTATATGCTATATGTCTTAACAGGAATCATTTCTTCAAAGGCCATTCTTATTATTTACCTGTAAATTATAAGGGACCTTTATATGCATTAACAATGAAAGGCCTGATTTTTTTCAAAATTTTGATTATTAATTGCTCCATTTAATAACATCTCAGGAGTACTGGTACAATTTTCAAAATCTGCACCTTCATTTAAAAAGTGATTCTACTCTCTTAGCCTTCATTTCTCTCATTTTACCTTGTTACACTACAAGATAATGAGAGTTAGTCCTGAATGACTTGAGATGTATAGTCTTTTCTCTCACGGAATCACAGCTTTTCCGTTTCACTAGTGGATTAGGCAAGGAGGATGGATTTCAACAGGACATTGCTGCATGTGACAATGTTACATTAGTGTAACCAAGTTAATTAGTAGTTGTTTGAATTTTATTTTGTAATTAACACAGGCTTGTTCATGGACCTTTGGGAAAGCAGTCATTTTCACATATTGCCTGTGCTGGGGTTTAGCAGACCCACCCCCAAAAAGCCCCTTGATTCTTTTCACACATTCTTCCCTCCCCCAGATGTAGTCATGTCACTAAACTTTCAGTCCTCTAGAGCTCAACTCGTTTTTCACACCTCCTAACCCTCTTGCATTAGCCCAAATGTTAACTCCATCAACACGTTTCTGTTTCATGACGGGGTGTGTGCTGCCAGGAAGGCCCTTTGCAATTGAGCTGGTGAATCCTCATAGAGTACATTTCACTTCACAAGAAATTAAGGAACTTCAGCAGGTAAACCACTTCATGACATGGAAATCGTCATGTTTCTGCAACTCTCTAACTGAGCTAGAGTGCTAATTATTTTTCTTTTTCTGCTACTACAGAAAATTAATAAGTCATCTAACAAAATCCAAGTACGTGACTTGCAGCTCGTCACAAGGTAAGGGTAGGCTTACTAGAGATGATTTCAGAAAGGAAGTTTTAGTTGTGGATCATGTATCTAATAAGGGAATTGCATCCAGCATATATAAAGAACTCTAACAACCCAATTAAAAATGAGGAAATGATTAAGTAGACATTTCTTGAAGGAAGATATATGAATAACCAATGAACATATGACAAAATGTTCAACATCATTAGTCATTAGGGAAATGCAAATTAAAACCACAATGAGATCCCACTTCACACCCACTAGGATGTTTATCATCAAAAAGACAGAAAATAACAAGTGTTGGCGAGAATGTGGGGATATTCAAACCCTTATACCTTGCTGGTGGGATTGTAAGTGCGACCACTTTGGAAAACTTTGGCAGTTTCTCTAAAGGTTAAACATAAAGTTACCAAATGACCCAGCAGTTCCACTTTAGATATTATATATGCAAGAGAAATGAAAACATCGACACAAGGACTTGTACATGAATGTTCATAGTATCATTATTCGCAATAGCAAAGAAGTAGAAACTACCAAAATGTCTGTGGATAAACAAAATGTGGTATTTCCACATAACGGAATATTATTAGGTTATTAAGTATGAAATGTCCTATTTCCTTAAGTACTAAGTTTGATAGTTGATATCTCTCTGACATTTCACTTTGACACTTCTTGTTTTATTTGTATTGTGAAGATACAACCTCAGTCTTTCAAACACACATTTTGGCTTGTGATTATCTTTCACATTTCTTTACAGCAATTTTTGTGAAACCATGGATAAATCAGAATTTTGTGTTATTTTCAAGTATGAGTTCCATCGTGGAACCATTGCAGTGCAGACAGCTAGAAATATCAACAAAGTGCTTGGGAAGGATCTGGCTAATGAATGCACAGTATGTCAATGCTTTGGAAAGTTCTGTTCTGATGATTTTAATCTTGAAAATGAACCACAGAGGTGACCTGAGACCAAGGTGACCTGACGAGCTGAAAGCTATAGTGGAAATGAATCCATCTCAATCTACATGTGAATTAGCAACAAGGTTTGATGTTACTATTCCAACAATATGGGACCATTTGAAACAAATTGGCAAGGTAAAGAAGCTAAATTGATGGGTTCCACGTGAATTAAATGAGTGTCAAAAGAGAAATTATCTTGAAGCTTGCCTTTATTTGCTGTGACGACACAAAGGCAAACCATTTCTACACTGTATTGTTACATGTGATGAAAAATGGATTCTTTTTGATGATTGTTAAGCATTCAGCATAATGGCTGGATAACGATGAAGTGCCAAAACAAAGTCCAAAATAGAATATTCATCAAAAAAAGCTAATGGTGTCTATTTGGTGGTCCCACGCTGGTATTATCCACTGTAGCTCATGAAACCTAGTCTATTGTCTACAACAGATGTCTCCTGCAACCAACTGGATGAAATGATGAGGATGCTTGCAATTAAACAGCTGAGATTGGTCAATAGAGACCACATCTGACCACATGTTGCCAAACAATGCTGCTTAGACTACAGCAGCTGGACTTGGAAACTCTCTGTCATCCACTGTATTCACCAGACCTTGCACCAACTGACTACTACTTCTTCCAGGCTTTGGACCACTTACTGCGAGGAAAAATATTCAATCCTCAGCAAGCTGTGGAAAATGCTTTTTGTGATTTCATCACCACCTCGCTCTCCAGGCATCTTTGCTGCTGGCATAAACAAGCTACAGTTAAGATGGCAAAACTGGGCCAGGATAATATGCTGGCTCACGCCTGTAATCCTAACACTCTGGGAGGCCGAGGTGGGAAGATCGCTTGAGGTCAGGAGTTTGAGACCAGCATAAGGAAGACTGAAACTCTGTCTCTACTAAAAATAGAAAAAATTAGCCAGATGTGGTAGTATGCACATGTAGTTCCAGCTACTCGGGAGGCTGAGCCAGGAGGATTGCTTGAGCCCAGGAGTTTGAGGTTGCTGTAAGCTAGGCTGACACACTGTAGTCAGGGGAACAGAGTGAGACTTTGTCTCAAAAAAATAAGATAGCAAAACTGTGTCAACAGTTTAAGCTAATACTTTGATTGTTTGGGATATAATAAACTCAACTTTTGATTTAAAATTGGACATTTCATATTTAATGACCTAATATTTGGTGATAAAAAGGAATGAAGTACTGATATATGCCACAACATGGATGAACCTTGAAAACATTATGAAATAAAAAGAGAGTTAGTCACAAAACACCACATGCTGTATGATTCTGTTTTATAGGAAATGTTCAGAATAGGGAAATCTACAGAGACAGGAAGTCAGTTAATTTTGTCTAGGGCTAAGGGGAAAAAGGGAATGGAAAGTGATGCTAATGGGTATGAAGTTTTTTGGAGGGGAGGATAAAAGTTTTATAAAATTAGATTGTGATGATAGCTGCACAACTCTGAAAACATACAAAAATCATTGAATCGGACAGTTAAAATGGGGGAATTTTATATAAATTATATCTCATTAAAGCTACTTTTACAGAAAGGGAAACGGGGCAATTTGTGTATATTTTATGTATTCAGACAAACCTTTTTTATTGTTTTTGTTTAGAGAGGCAATAGGACATATGAAAGAAGGTGAAGAAGAAAAAACCAAGACCTATAGTGCCTTAGTATGGACAAATAAAGCAATACAGAAGAAAGACATTGAATTCCTAAATGATATAAAGGTAATTCAAGTGCTCTTATTCTTTTTTTTTTTTTTTTTTTTGTCTATAAAAGAATCCATTGTCTTCTAGTTTATTACTCTCAAGTTACAGAGATGGGCTTTGGGGTCTGTGAGACTTGGTTTCACAGCCTGGCTTTGCCATTTACTAGTTGAACAGGCAACCCCTCTAGCCTATTGGAGAGGCAGTGTTGTTAGCAATGAAGAGCCTGACTCGGAAGACAGATTGCCAGCATCCAAATCCTGGATCTGCATTTCTTGGCTATGTGTCTTTGGACAAATTACTTAGCCTCTTTGTGCTTCAATTTCTTCATCTATAAAATTAGTTAAAAGAATTGAATGAGTTTAATCATATAAAGCACTGAGAATGGTACCTGGCACATAGGAAACACTTAGCAATGCTATTATAATTAATATTTGGTTATCTTGGCTGGGTGTAGTGGCTCACGCCTGTAATCCTAGCACTCTTGGGAGGCCAAGGCCAAGGCCGCTCAAGGTCAGGAGTTCAAAATCATCCTGAGCAAGAGTGAGACCCTATCTCTACTAAAAATAGAAACAAATTAATTGGCCAACTAAAAATACATAGGAAAAAATTAGCCGGGCATAGTGGCACATGCCTGTAGTCCCAGCTACTTGGGAGCCTAAGGCAGGATTGCTTAAGCCCAGGAGTTTGAGGTTGCTGTGAGCTAGGCTGACGCCACGGCACTCTAGTCTGGGCAACAGAGTGAGACTCTGTCTCAAAAAAAAAAAAAAAAAATTGGTTATCTATAAAAAATAAATATAGGGCCTATCTAATAGAATTGATGTTGAGATTAAGTACATGAATAAAACGTGATAATATATCTAAGGCATATACATTTGGCACATGCTAAGTTTTCCTTCACACGAGCATGTCACTGTAGAGGGTCTGCCAGTTCATTTGCTTATTTCTTCCTACCTGTGCCCACCTCTTCCTGTAAAGAGAATTTACTTTCAAATGCAAGGAATGAGCATAAATGGCACAAAGGTACATACAGTTACCACAACATTGTTTAAATTGGCAATATTTTGTAACAATCTAGATGACCTAGAAGGACCTGGTTTAATATTAAATATTAAATTAAATATGGCTTATCTGTATAATGGACTATTACTATCCAAACATTAAAAATTATGTGGTAGATTAATATTTTTGACATAGGAAAATGTTCTCGATAAGTGCTAAGGGGGAAAAAACAAGGTATAGAGTATATAGAGGATGATATGTTGTGCATACATTATGTATGTATATATGTATATTTTTATACATATAGGTGATGATGTAGAAAATAAATTCTATGACAAAACATACCATAAATAGGGTTTATATTTATCGTGAAAAATATAGACAACCAATAGATAAAAATGGACAGGCAGCTAAAAAATGAGCAACTACAAATGGCCAAGAATCATTTGAAAAGATGTTCCACCTTCAGGTTGAAGTAACAAGAAATCACTTTATTCCCCTTTGACTAATAATACCTCTAATTGGGTTGGGGTGGAGGAGAAAGATAGTTGCATACATTGTCAGTAGAAATGCAAAATGTTTCAACCATTTTGGAAAATGTGGCAATGACTATAAAATTTTAAAATATACTGGTCTTCTATTGACAGTCTGTCCTATTGAAATAAAAATCCAGTCATAAGGATATGTATACAGTGATGTTTATTGACTTTGTTCAAAGCAGTAAAATCAACAACAAAAAAATCTAGAAACAAAATCAATGTCCTTCAATAAGAAAAGGTACAATAAATTGGAATATTATACAACTCTTAAAAAACCCAAAACAGCATATGATCCTATTTAATTCCTATATTAGTTTATATATATATGCCTAAAAATATTAGGAAAAAAGTAGAGGGGTGTCTACATCTGCAACTTGTAGGAGCACCATGACATTATAAAAAGAAAAGGTGAAGTGTAAATAATGTTTATGAATGTTTTGGTGAAAACATAAAAGTCATTCACCTGCTTAGAGAAGCTCACCTATAAAATGTGGGGATGGACATCACCTCCAGTGGCCCTTCAGTTCTTAGCTCCCGTGATTCTATATCTACGGTCCTTTGGCTTTTCACCTTACTATGTAGGGGCTCTTAGGATGATAGCTATAATATAGACAGATACCTTTAACACATTGACTGCCACACTAGAAAAATAATCTTTTTCCTTAGAGCCAGCATGTTTTATTACAAAAATAGAATAAAAACTTCTAAAACAAAACAATCCTTTCTAATGTAATGAAAAATGTGTTACTTTTTATTGTTTTCTGTGTGTAAGTTATATGCAACTTGAAAAATAGTTCATGTGGCCCCCAAAGTAAAGAATCATGTGAGTCACATATGCTTCCTGAGGCCCTGAGCTCAAAACTAGTGTGAGTTAAATACAACTCACATGGCAGTTAATGTGTTAAGATTGCAAAACAAATTTCTAAACTTCTCTATTCCCTCACTTGTGTACAAGTCATTCAGAATGCCGTGGGAAAAATAAACTCATTAAAAAAATAGATTTTCAGTTTGAGGATATCCATAGAACTAACTTAGAAATAATGTTGAAACATGATTTTTATAGGTACAGACTAAGTGGTGAAAGGGTCTATTTTAATGGTCCACAGCCCAAGTAGACTGACATGACTAGCTGACTTCTAATAATGTTTTGACAGTTTTCAAATATTCCTATGGCCATAAACAATAGAAAAACTGACCTACTTCCCCATTCTGAGAAAAAGTCACTTCAAATTTACTACTTGTCCTCACTTTTTAAAGAGCAACCTGCTTCTAAGAAAAAAAGTATGTATGTTTCTGAAAATTCAGCAGTATAAGGACAGCAGAGTGCAATGTTAGAATAAATGATTTCCTTTTGTTGGCTAAAAACAGACCAAAAAAGACACAAGTGTGTGTTGATGTGAGTGTTATTTTGGCAGCAGTATAGCAGCTCAGTTGGTATTTCCATCAACTGGCTTCATGGTCAGAGTACTAGGAGTGGCTCTAGCGGTAAAGGATGGTGAGGAGAGAAGAGCACTCTTAGATAGATACTCAGTTCAAGGCCAACTGTTTCTGCACCCTAAAGTGGAGACCATGTCTTTGTAGATTCCTTAAGAGTTCAGCCTTGTCATTGACTTTTTGATCTTTTTGACCGAAAAAAATCAGGTCTTATGGAGACAGCTTATTTCATCACAACAAAGTACTTCTAAAATCAAAGAATAATAGAATCATAAAAACCACAGAGATAGGAGGGGCCATTGAGTCACTGCTCTGACAAAAGCAGTCACACCCTTTCAAATGTGGTCTTTGTCAGAACTTGCTCTTTCTTTCTTGGTGGAGAACTTGATAGAAGGGAGACCAGACAGAAACCTTTCCTTTTCTTAGCAGAGCTCCAGGTGCTCACGAATCATGTAAATTAGGAAGAGTTGTTCCAACAAGAAATTGCAGAGAATTTAGTTCTTATGAACCTACATTTCTAGTTAAGCCCAATATCTACTTTTTTTTTTTTTTTTTTTTTTTTGAGACACAGTGTCTCTCTGTTGCCTGTGGTGTCAGCCTAGCTCACAGAAACCTCAAACTCCTGGGCTCATGCAATCCTTCTGCCTCAGCCTCCCAAGTAGCTGGGACTACAGGCATGAGCCACCATGCCTGGCTAATTTTTTCTATATATTTATAGTTGGCCACTTAATTTCTTTCCACTTTTAGTTGAAACAAGGTCTTGCTCTTGCTCAGGCTGGTCTCCAACTCCTGACCTTGAACGATCTTCCTGCCTCCCAGAGTGCTAGGATTACAGGAGTGAGCCACTGCGCCTGGCCCCTAATATCTATTTTTTTTCTTTTTTTTTAAATTAAAATTTTCTTTTACCCTGAAAATTCAGACAGAACCCAGTATCTATTTTTAAAACTTAGAATTAGTTGACCTTTTACAGTATTAACCTCTATTTTTCTTTAAAATGTATATCTTGTGACATAAAGGAAAATCTCTAATTTGAACAATTGTGAGAAAAGCAAGTCTGTGTCCCTAAAAAATCTGAAATGTAAAAAGACATATAATATTCTTATTTACAAGCTAGGCTAACAAATATTGAGAGGTATTGGTTTATTGTGCATACTTATTTGTAATTATTATATTGAAATGTCATCCTAAACAATGATATAATTTTTCCAGATGATTCCTTTTGTATAACAACAACAAAAAAACCCCAAAACAAACAAAAAAAATAAACAGTCCCTGAGGGTGGGTGTATGGTTCTCCCTAAAACATGCAAACTGCCCATACAGACAAGGCATGCTGAGGTTCCACAGTCTATAACCAGATATTTCTCACCCCAACCTGAAATCCTCACTGTTAGGCCACTGTGTTGAGTTAGGTAAGAACATTGACCTCTAGAAGAGCCCTGTTGAAGTAACTGGCAGGATGGAACTTCAGGGTCCTAACCAATTTGTTATATATTAGACCAAAGGAAACTTTGAGGATCATTGACTTTAAGGCCTCACCTTTTTTAATGGTGAGCTTACTGGGGCCCAGAGAATGAGTAATTCTGGACTAGGTCATGAGAAGTCCCACAGAGTTTGAACCTAAGAGGTTATAATTTATTATAATATTAGGTCGTTTCTACCCTGATAGTGATAGATGGAGTCTTTAAGACTCCAGAAGACTTCTGTGGTGAGCTATGGATGACAAAGGCAATGCTAAGACAGGCTTCACTGGGTGGCAGAGCTCTAACTCTGTGGCTGTGTATCATAATCTCTAGGACTTAAAGATTGACCAGAAAACTCCTCTGCGAGTCCTTCACCGAAGGCCCTTGGCTGTGAGAACTCGCGTCATCCACTTCATGGAGGCACACTATGTGGACGCGCATCATTTTCGCCTCTATCTGAAAACTCAAGCTGGAACGTATCCTTCCACCTTCTGCATGGCAATACTCTAACCAGAATCCTATTCTAAGAGTTAATGCAGCCCTAGAAAAATAGGTTCAACTTGGTCTGGGAGGTATTAGGGAAAGGATTATATTGGAGAAGAATGCTTTTTTAAAAAAATTTGTTTGAGGTGTTTTTTTTTCCCATTTGTGTTTTTCAAAATGACTTTTTAAACCCTGGGGTGGTAGTCAGTTCAATGTCAGCTTTAAAGTTATTTATGTTTCATGTAATTACAGTGTCTTACACAGTGCTTAGCACATAGTAAATACTGAGAAAATACTTGTGATTGATTCATTTGCTGTCTTCACATTTTTTGCAAGTCACGTATTCAGTACCGTATCTAGGTCCTTTCAACATTTCAAGCATTTGCCCAGATGAGACACAGGTAGTAGATGGGAATGGCGCTACTTTACATCTTGATCTTAACTTTACTCGGCCACTGGCCCAGTACAACAGAGAATATTCTTTCTCTGTATGCCTTGTGAAAAAAATAAAGCATTTCAGATTACATATCATTTGTTTGAGCCATATAAACTTGGTTGATGGTAATACTGTGCTGGCATCAGCACCATTTGCAAAGATTGCAAAGGGTTTTGACTGTGTTATAAACAGAAAGTCTGAGATCAGAGTTAAAAATATCCATAGTCTGAGGCTGATAATTTGTTTATAACCTAACCTGATTTGTGTGGTTTTGGTAAGTCTGATGTAAATACAAGTCCCAGGTCATGTGTAGTTTTGTATCAGAAGTGAGTTGCTGATTAAAATACATCAGGGAGCTCCAGTAGTCTTAGCTTTAGTTTACTTTTCAAAGGTATTCTTAGTTTTTGTTCCTTGGTTTTATATTATTTTGTGATCCAATAGCATGGAGTGATAACATGCCTTCTAACTGGCCTAAAACCAATGATGTATTTATGTATATAATAAAAAAAAAAAACCAAGTATAAAGCACTAAATACCATTATCACTACATTGCTGTAACTAGTCTGCCTGTCCTTCGCCACCAACCTGCTTTCTCCTCTTCTGCCTCTGCCCCATCCCAGGAGTGACCTGGATTTACTCAGCTGAATCAGGTACAGGTTATCTACTTCTAAAAACTTTTAAATTTTGCAATTTGAATCAAAGAATGATCTATTTAGATTCCAGTGGACAAATCTTTGTAACTTTGTTGTTTGGGGCACATTTGCCTATTGTGGGTGGAATTTCAAAGCAATCACAGATTTTTAAAATATCTTTTTATCCATTATAATTCTGGCTCTAGTTTTGGTGTGCCAAGGAGAAATGCAATGTCTTCTGGAGAAGCTAATGTCTTTTCAATCCTACTAAGACATTTTTAGAACCATCCATGTACATGTACTTAAGGTGTTAACCAATAAAGACTGGTAAAACTTTAGATATATGTTTTTACACAGAAGTATGTGTAATTTTCACACACTAAGTTTATTTTGTATACACGCTATGTATTTATATTGCTCAGTACACTGAGCTAGCTCATTTGACTTCAACCTTGGCCCTCTGGGCTGGGCACGATGGCCTGTAATCCTAGCACTCCGGGAGGCCAAGGTGGGAGGATCACTCAAGGTCAGGAGTTTGAGACCAGCCTGAGTAAGAGTGAGACCCGTCTCTACTAAAAATAGAAAGAAATTAGCTGGACAACTAAAAACATATATAGAAAAAAATTAGCCAGGCATGGTGGCGCATGCCTGTAGTCCCAGCTACTCGGGAGGCTGAGGCAGTAGGATTGCTTGAGCCCAGGAGTTTGAGGTTGCTGTGAGCTAGGCTGACGCCACGGCACTCTAGTCTGGGCAAAGTGCGACTCTGTCTCAAAAAAAACAACACAAAACCCTTGTCCCTCTGGCCATGAATAAGAACCTCTCTGGACCTTATAATTGGTTATTCTGGGGCTTTTTGGTCATCTCTCCTCATCATTGCTACTCAAGGGGAGCATTTTCTAAGAAAATAAGAGAAAAAGAATGACAATGCGTGAATTTAGCAAAAAAAGATAGTCACTAGATAATTAGATGTCTTATGTTTGAGTCAAAATGTTTGGTGAAGGTAGAATGAATAAACATTCAAAAAGTGAGGACACAGTATCAGCCTATTATAATGTTTATTTTTTATTTATCATCTGGGAATAAATTTCCTATTCAAGTTCTATTAAATATTTTATACGAAATGGTTTATAGATAACCCAATATAATGCTGAATGTTGGCAAAAACATATCTTTTAGATAACTGTTGTCAAGGTTGCAGTAGAATCCTGTGTAAGGAATGTTATTATAATCTTTTTTTTTTTTTTTTTTTTTGAGACAGAGTCTTGCTTTGTTGCCTAGGCTAGAGTGAGTGCTGTGGCGTCAGCCTAGCTCACAGCAACCTCAAACTCCTGGGCTCAAGCAATCCTCCTGCCTCAGCCTCCCGAGTAGCTGGGACTACAGGAATGTGCCATCATGCCTGGCTAATTTTTTCTATATATATTAGTTGGCCAATTAATTTCTCTCTATTTATAGTAGAGATGGGGTCTTGTTCTTGTTCAGGCTGGTTTCGAACTCCTGACCTCGAGCAATCTGTCCGCCTCGCCCTCCCAGGGTGCTAGGATTACCGGCGTTTGTGAGCCACTGAGCCCGGCCGGAATGTTATTATAATCTTATTAAGAACAAATTCCAAAATTATTCATTGACTCCAAAATTTGAAGACCTATGAGGGAGATACAAAGTTTCCCCTTAAAAAATGAGAGAGAGAGAATTAACTTAGTTCTATTGCTACCCACATTAGCAAACAACTAGAACATAAGTCTTTTGATAATCCTTCTGAAGGGCCTTCATGAAGACTAAATTAATATTCTCATTGTGCTTTCCATCTTATTGCCACTGGGTCATGTTATAGGGAAAGCTATCATTGAGGTCACTCTGTGTGTGAGCTTGTGGAAACCTACTATCTGGCAGATGCCAGTTGCCATTATTGAAAAATGGGACCAGAAAGATGATAAAATGGAAATTTGTGGCAAAAAAGAAATAATTGTTTTTTTAAAGTACTAAACTATAAGTAATTTTAAAAATCCATACCCAAATCTTGGCACTTGTAGATGAGCTATTAAGAAAAAAGAAAGTCATGACTTCTGGTAAGTTTGATGTAAATAACAGGTTCCAGGTCCCGATGTTGGCTGGCTACCAGTCCAATGTAGGAACCAGCTTGCTGTAGCTTATTTTGTAAGACACACATCCCAAGTCAGAGCTCAGAAATGACCTCTCTTTAGTAACATTTCTGCTTTTATTTCTTATTTCCCTTTTGCTTACCAAATCTCACCAAACAGTTGGAACTGCATGCTATCTTCATTTTTTCCTTAAACAAACTCCAGCTATATTAAAGAGTTTGTACATGGAGACTTTGGGAGAACCACGCCAAACATTGGCTCACTGATGAATGTGACTGCAGACATTCTTGAGCTGGATGTTGAGGTAAACCTTTTATTGTGGAATGTATATTTGCAAATTGAATTCAGCCAAAGTTATGCTCTTTTGCATTAAGCCAAATTGCACTACCTACCTTCATAGGTGTTTGAAAATAATCAAAATCAGTAGGCCGGGCGCGGTGGCTCATGCCTGTAATCCCAGCACTCTGGGAGCCTGAGGTGGGAGGATCGTTCAAGGTCAGGAATTCGAGACCAGCCTGACCAAGAAGAGTGAGACCCCGTCTCTACTAAAAGTAGAAAGAAATTAGCCAGACAACTAAAAATATATAGAAAAAATTAGCCGGGCATGGTGGCGCATGCCTGTAGTTCCAGCTACTCGGGAGCATGAGGCAGGAGGATTGCTTGAGCCCAGGAGTTTTGAGGTTGCTGTGAGCTAGGCTGACGCCATGGCACTCTAGCCTAGGCAACAGAGTGAGACTGTCTCAAGAAAAAAGAAAATCTCACAGTAGCATTGTATTGCAGGGAGGGACTGTCTTCAGTATTTTTAATTTTTTTAAAAAAAATTCAAGGTCTCATTTATGTTCCTTGCAAATATGTAGCTAATTTACTAACTGCACTTTATATTAATATATGGCATCAGATCTAAACCCTTGAACCAAGCAAAGAAATAAAGTTGTAAGCGCTCTTCACATGTCCTCTTTGGATTCTGGAAAGTTCATTCCCATACCTGTTTTGTTTTATAAACAATTTAAGAAACTCAGAGACATATATTCAGGACAAGGGTAGAAAATGCGATGAGCCAATGGTTATTAATAAAAGCAATTCTAAGGGACCTTTATGATGTAGTCCAAGTTCTCTGTTCTTCGAGTCTGAATTGAAACACAGTTAAATTCTAAAATAATTAGAAAAATGGGTCTTTCAGGCAATTCTCCATGAATATTTCATTAGAACATCAGTAGGTGTTGAGTCACAAGTTGTGCTTGTTGATGAAAATGTGATTAGGAGTAGAGTCCCTCCTTGTGTCACTCCCCCAAAGTTTAGAATAGGCTAGCATTTTTCACTTGGGAATATTATCAAAATTATAAAAAGAAGTGGGTATGGTTGCCTAGTGTGAAAACAGCTATAGCAATCAAATGATCACTGGAGCATTATTACCTTACCAGCAATTTCTCAAGTGCTCTTTTAGATTATATTTTACAGAGCTCCTGCAGTACAGCCAGTGATAATGCCTTCAAGGTTGCAGGGAGCCTCTTCAGTAAGATTACCATTTTGAGGAAGACAGCCTTCTGTTAAAAAAAAGCCCAACTGCATTCATCTTTTTTGACCTTAATTCTTAGAATAGCCTAGAAGTGTCAAAGAGTCACAGACCAATGTTTCTCAACCCTGATTGTCCATTGGAATCACCTTTGGAGCTTTTTAAACAATTTAACATGCCTACCCTCCCCTACCCTCAACACACACAAAATTATGATCAGTAATGTTTCATTTTCAGATTGAAAAACCACTCATTAACTTATATATGGGTGTTTAGTGTATGGCTGTATTCTGAAACAGAACCAAAATATCTTCTTGAGATTTGTAAGTCACACACACACAATTACACATGCAATAGTTATTTGGGCTTTTCTAATAAAATTTTTCTGAATTTAGTATATGAAGGGACTCCTGGATTGATGGAAACTTTTCAGTAAATAATTTAAATTAATTTAAATAATTTAAACTAATTTAAATTAATTAAATTTAAATTATTTAAATCAATTTAATTATTTAAATTATTTTTAAATTTAAATTATTTACTGAAAAGTTTCCATCAATCCAGGAGTCCCTTCATATACTAAATTCAGAAAAATTGTATTAGAAAAGCCCAAATAACTATTGCATGTGTAATTGTGTGTGTGTGACTTTAGTAAAAATTTTCAGGAAATAATTTACTGAAAAATTTTTCAGGAAATAATTTACTGAAAAATTTTTCAGGAAATAATTTAAAAATTTTTAAATTATTTCAGTAAATAATTTAATTTCAGTAAAAATTAAAAAATAATTTTTCAGTAAAAAATTTCAGTAAATAATTTAGTTTTAAAATTTAAATGTCAATAAAAACCACAGATATAGTGGATTTAAAAAAAGTAAAAAACAAAAAACTCTTAAAGTAGGTTCCCTGGGGTAGTTAAGACAAGGTATGCCTTGACACTTCTAAGATCTGGTATGTGATTGTTTACGTGGAGACAAAAAATAGTTTGCTTACTGTAATTTCATTATGACTCGAAAGTCAAGGTTTTGTTCTAGAAGAGCACAATGAAGGTAAGTAGAGGTAGAAGAATTAGATATTAAAGGAAACAAAAATCCAGCTCAAGTGAAACGCTAAGATCGTTAATCCTTTTCTAGTTCCAGGTGATCTTTCATAATTTATTTCACGTTCATTTGCTAAGTTACAAACAAGACTAAGTTTATAGACTACTTTTTAAATGCAAGATTGGAGAATGAAAATGATCAGAAGAATAAAAGTTGCTCAGACTTCTAAGGGAAAATTAGTGTAGCCACCTAAATATGCTACTTTACCCATAAATAACATTACTTTAATAACCAGCTGAGAAACCAAATACCGCTGCTCAATTAATTCAGATTATTTCAGGCCCAAGAATCCCTAGAATGGACTTGTGTTAAATTGTAGTATTCAATAGCTCTTTTCTTCAAATGAAGTTTCTTCAGTTGCATTATATTAAAGCTATTAAATTTATACAGCATTACCAGCAAATGCTTACCAGAACAGTGACACCTGTTTTACTGGCTTGTTCTCTCCCTTCTAGTCTGTTGATGTTGACTGGCCACCTGCTCTGGATGACTAGCTTTCAAATTTGGAGGCAAAGAGCAGGGTTTTCCTGGCATGATGTGGATATCCATGGAGCACACACTGTAAAATGGCTGTTTACCCACCAAACAGTGTCTTGGAAACCATTTGGATCATGTTGATCTATATATTTTTAAAATTTGTTGTAACATCTCAGGATCTATATATGTGTGTATATTTTGTGTTAAATTGTTCCAAGATGTTTTGTGATTTTTCTCATTCCCTCTCTCACCCCCACAAACCAAACTATGGATAACAAAACCATTCTCCTTAATTCTTTCACTTAAGAGAGTTACACAAACAGAACACATTCTCTGTTAATTTGAGAAGCTGTAATTTCTTCCAGCAA